AAATCAAAACCCATATCTTTCAGTTTCTATCGCCCGCTATTCCAGTTCAGGTTCGTCGTTCGCAAGCTTCAACAGCTGTCTCTCAACTCTCAAGCTTGCCCCCCTCTCTCTCTCTACACTGCCAACTTGTATGTATGGGTTTTGTGTTTTTTTTTTTTTTTTTTTTTTTTTTTTCTAAATCAACTAATCAAGCTCTGTAATTCTTGTTTTGCAAACTTTGTCAAGCAAAAGTAGTTAATATAGGGCAAAGCTCTAAAGTTACTTCTTGAAAATTGAAATACTTACAAAAAAACATGCTTTTGAGTGAATTCCATAGTGTTGGAAGGGGCTTGCCATGAACTATCTCACACTCTGCTTCCACTAGTAGAATTGAGTGGTGAATTGTTTAGAAATAAATTGGTAATTTTTTTTTATTAATTACCCAAATAGGATTTTCTATGCCTTATTCAGTCAATTGTCTAAAGAAACATTGTTAGTTAACTAAAATTGAATTAAACAACAGTTCATTTTGGTTGATATATTTTGATTTAGCCCACCCCATTGAGAAATCAGAGATGCTTTGCTTCACATAGAAATACAATTTGTGTAATGCACAAATGATATATTCAATCTTTCTGTCATATTTTTACTTTCAAATTTTGGTTTTTGATTTTCTTTTGTTATTAGAATGTAGAATATCAGGATATTGATTTGTTATTTTTGAAGATTATTCCTAAACTGATGCATTGTACTTTGTTATTGGACTAATTTAACATAAGAGCTGAGTGTAATATGTGCTAATCACATTAATCCGTAATCACACCTCTTTCTACGGATAGGTGTTCAACATTTTGACTGAAAGCATAGTTGGGTTGATACATGATACAGATAGTACTTAGATGATGGTGTTTTAATTGTTATAAGTGAGATTGTGAAACCTTTTCCTCACAACTTGTGTGTTTTCTTATTTTTATGGTTAGCATCGGGCCTTAACATTTAGCAAGAATAAGGTTCAAGAAACATGCCTCCTCAGTCATCAGGTAACAAATTCTTAACTTTTTCTAAAATTTTAATTAGCATTTTTAGCTATTGATTATGTTTATATATTCATGTTTTACATACTGATTTTTTGTTTTGGTTTTTACGTACATATATATAATATTGTTATGATGTGATTTTCGAACAATTTATTAATGGGAATTAAAGACTTGGAAGTTTAGTTTTCAATTTCAGAATATATGTTTTACAAGTTTATTAACGCTTTTAAAACTTTTCCTCTTTTGTCCTATTAATATAGGTCCCTTTTATGAAAGAAGAGAATTGATGGGAATGGGTTGAGTAGGGAAAAAGGTATGTTTTTTTTTACCTAGCTAATTGAATTATATAAATTCCCTTACCATTGTAGCAGTAATGTTAGTTTTAAAATGACCAATTATGATAGGAAGTCTCTTTTCAATTTATCTTAATCAAATGTATATCTATGCAAGAGGATTATGTGATTCTAGATGACAATTCTAGATGAGGATGTTAATGTCAAAGTTATGAGGATGTTGATGTCAACGTTAACCCTAGTGATGACGGCTGATGATGTTGATAGACTCAAATTAAGTCAAAGCACTTAGAATTGAAGGAAAATTAGAGTTGAAGACATTATTGAGTATAGTGTCTAATTCTTTTAGTTACAAGAATCTTTGGTCACTTCACACACGATTTTTCAGTTCCTGAAATTTTGAAACAATGGTGTGTAATATGATTCATCTACTTGGACTCTCTTCTTTTTCATCTCTCTAAACCTTAATTTTAGCTGTGAAAAATAAAAAGAAGACTATGCAATTTTAATTTTACTTTATCAGTTTGAGCATTGACATAGCTTTTGAAATATTGAAACTGAAATAACAAAGAAGAGAGAGTCCACCAATAAGAATTACCCAACTTAGGACAACATTAGCTCTCTGACTTCTTGACTAATATTGGCATAGGAGAATTCTATAGATTTGGACTTGTAGAGAGAGAAATATATGGTTGGGGGCACAAAAGTGTACGATAACGATAGGGTTGTGAGCTTTTTGCTTGTTTCATGCATCAGATCTAGGAAGTGTACAACAATGAAATGGAAAGCTCTAATGCACTCAAAGTTACAAACATACAGAGACAATAATTAATATTATATATTTATAACTTACTTTACTAATCTAATATGATACTACATATATCATACATATATACATATATCCTGCCCTTTCACAAATGGCTCGAGACATTTTGCCAATTCTAGTTTCAACCGTGGCTTCAGAGTCAACTTTTAGCACCAGGGACGAGTACTTGACTCATTTCGTAGTCCCTTAACTCCTCATATTGTTGAGTGCTTGATTTGTTCCCAAGATTGGGTAAGGAGTTCTTCAACATCTATTGACATAGAAGAAAAATTTAAGGAACCCGAAGATTTAGAGAAAGGTATTACTTTCCTTCATTTTTTGTATTAATTTTATATGTATAGAAAATTGTTTTAAAGCTGCCATATATGTATTTTTTTTATAAATGGTCACTGTTTTTGAGCTGCCATATATGGCCTTAGTATGTTATTTGTGCTTTAACCATATAGAGTCTATGGATGACCTATTCTGTGAGTGTCCTAATGCTTGGGAGGTTTGTGCTGGTCTTAAATCTTAATGACATGTTCAAGTGAAATATTCAGATGGTAGATTCCATTGCGGTGTTTGCCAAGTGCCAACTTGCTGTTACAAAAAATAATAATAATGAAAAAATAAAACTTCTTGTTACATTAGTTTCTAGAATGAGAGAGCTCATGATTCTGTACATAAGGACCCTTTGTATTGTTGAAAGGGCAGGATAAATTATGTGCCAACTTGCTGTTACATTAGCTATGATTCCTTTTTACACTTTTTACTTTTCTTTCTTTTGTTTTTTTTTCGGGCTTCTAGGCCCTCTAGTTTCTTTCAAGTCTCTTATTGGAACAACATCTGAGTCCAAAAATTGCACATATTACATATTAACTCATACTAGTATAACTATTAGTCTACTATATGCATATACTTGTACCTAATATGTGAAAATATGTCATTAAATTTCAACTCTTAAAAATTTTAATTGTTTCATCACTTAATTCTCAATTTCAATTTTAGCTCTTACATTAGTTTATGTTACATTGTTCATGTTTGTATAGAGACTCTTTTCATTCCAACTGGTTACTTTCTAACTCATATCAAGTTTACCTTCAACATCCGCCGGCGACGCCTCAATAGGCAAATCATATATTGGATAATTTTTATTTTTTTATTTTTTATTTTTTTATCTTCAATATGTTTTTCTCTGTCCTTATATTGCATAATAATAATATGTTTAACTTCAAGATATTATGAAGCTAGCTAACTTGTTTCTTCTTAAATCTTCATGTTGCTCATGTTTCATGACCTCCTTCTGCCGAATATAAATTTCTTTTGTCTTTTCCTGCAATTTTATAGGTTTTGCGAAAAAAGTCGGAGAACCAGGAGCTTGCACCACTGGAGGGTCATCTAGCAAAATTCAAGGGGTAATATTTGATACGGTGTATATGAGATAGTTTTGACAAACAATTTATATATTTATCTTTTATATATATACAAATTATCTCTAATTTGATATTATCATATCCCTTTTGTAGGAATGAGGAGCATGGAGGATGACTTTTGCTTACTGCTTAGCCTTGAACAATAAAGACCAACAATTTTTTTGTTGTTTTGTAATGTTTATTAATGTTGGTTATGAGGGCTTGTTACTTTGGTTAACTTTGGATTAATTTATTATTAATGGTGGTTTATGACATGTTTAATTTCTATGATTTTGATTGAGATTTAAATTAATGCACTAATATTATTATTAAAAGTTTGAAACTGATACAGCAAAACAGGTTCAATAGAAGCGAACAAGCACCAATACTATTAGAAATGTGACCCAAATTAAAAACCTGACCTAAAAGTCCAAGAAAAACCGAAAATATTATCCGAATTAAGAACCCAAGTTTAGCCCGTGTTTAAAAAATTAAGTATGGGCTGGGCTTGGGCTCACTAGGTTGGAATTACCCTCGGGCTTGGGCTGAATATTTATACAATGTGTTGAGCCCGAGTTAAGTCTCTAATCCGCCCAACCCGCCCGAGTTACTGCCCTAATCTCTGTACACATATTTTATATTAAACTTATTTCTTTGATAGGTCTCTCATTATATATTTTATATATTTCTTTATTTATATATTCATAATAGTTTATAATATTTTTAAAAATTGTCAAGTAGTAATAATTAAAAAGGGCTACCTTTCGAGAAAAAATATATATATCAAAAGTTGCTGCTTTGTAGTATAGTGTAGTGATGTAAGATGAATTTGTATTTGTGCAAGGGCCTCATAACATAACAAAATGGATGCATACCATAAGTCATAGAAAAAAGTTACAAACACAAATTAATCTAAAGTGTGCTCACCGTATAAAGGATGCATAATTAGCATAGACACTTTTACGCATCTCCTCTGCAGACGCCTTTAAATCTACAAGGTATGTATTTCTTATGTTATGGTTATGATTTATCCACCCATTAAAATTTCATCAATAATACCAACTTTACGTGTATAATTTGATACAGTTTACGCACCAAACCATTGCTCAAACCACAACCAATTCAAAACTTTACTAAAACCCTCCCACTAAATTATGTAATCACAATTCACACGGACATAGAAATAAAGTTTGTGATGATCACATAAAATCTGAATAAATATAGAACATAATGATGCTAAAATTAATTTAATTCAATAAAATTCAGTTTAAAATATGAAATTATTAATAGAATTAGTCCTTCCAATTAAGTCCAAATCAACTCACCCACCATATTAAAGTAAAGGCCCAATTCAAATAAGTCCAGAGCCGGCCCTTACCCAAGGGCCTCAAAATTTAGAGGCCCATGGATGATGGGTCACCAAAGAACAAAATATTTTTAGGGCAAATCATTTCAGCCTCCCCAATGGCCTCCATCTCTTTTCTCTCTCTCAACTCTGAACTTGCCCTCTCTCTCTCTCTCTCTCTCCAATTGCAAACTACAAAATCTACAAGAATCAAAAGTTCAAAACCCATATATTTCAGTTTATCTATCTGTCTGCAAGAATCAAAAGTTCAAAACCCATATATTTCAGTTTATCTATCAGTCTGCAAGAATCAAAAGTTCAAAACCTATTACCTATATCAAAACCCATATCGGCATATCATTTGAGATTGTTCAAAAAATCAAAATCCATATCTTTCAGTTTCCATCGCCCGCTGTTCCAGTTCGGGTTCGCCGTTCGCAAGCTTCAGCCGCTGTCTCTCAACTCTCAAGCTTGCCCCTCTCTCTCTCTCTGCAACTGCTAACTTGTATGTATGGATTTTCTCTCTCTGCAACTGCTAACTTGTATGTATGGGTTTTGTTTTAATTTTTTTTTTTTCTAAATCTACTAATCAAGCTCTGTAATTCTTGTTTTGCAAACTTTGACAAGCAAAAGTACTTAATATAGGGTAAAGCTCTAAAGTTACTCGTTGAAATTAAAATACTTACAAAAAGCATGCTTTTGAGTGAATTCCATAGTGTTGGAAGGGGCTTGGCATGAACTACCTCACACTCTGCTTCCACTAGTAGAACTGAGCGGTGAATTGTTCAGAAATAAATTGGTAATTTTTTTTGTTAACGACCCAAATAGGATTTTCTATGCCTTATTCAGTCAGTTGTCTAAAGAAATACTGTTAGTTAACTAAAATTGAATTAAACAACAGTTCATTTTGATTTAGCCCACCCCATTGAGAAATCGTGGATGCTTTGTTTCACATAGAAATACAATCTGTGTAATGCACAAAGGATATATTCAATCTTTCTGCCATAATTTTATTTTCAAATTTTGGTTTTTGATTTTCTTTTGTTATTAGAATGCAGAATATCAGGATATTGATTTCTTAATTTTGAAGATTATTCCTAAACTAATGTATTGTACTTTGTTATTGGACTAATTTAACATAAGAGCTGAGTATAATATGTGCTAATCACACCACACCTATCCGTCATCACACCTCTTTTTGCGAATAGGTGTCCAACATTTTGACTGAAAGCATAGTTGGGTTGGGTTGGGTTAGGTTGATACATGATACAGATAGTACTTAGATGATGGTGTTTTAATTGTTATGAGTGAGATTGTGAAACATTTTCCTCACAACTTGATTGTTTTCTTATTTTTAGGGTTAGCATTAAGCCTTAACATTTAGCAAGAACAAGGTTCAAGAAACATGCCTCCTCAGTCATCAGGTAACAAACTTTAACTTTTTCTAAAATTTTAATTGACATTTTTAGCTATTGGTTATGTTTATATATTCATGTTTTAAATACTGCTTTTTTGTTTTTGTTTTTGTTTCTACATACATATATATAATATTGTTATGATGTGATTTTCAAACAATTTATTAATGGGAATTAAAGACTTAGAAGTTTAGTTTTCAATTTCAGAATATATGTTTTACAAGTTTATTAACGCTTTTAAAACTTTTCCTCTTTTGTCTTATTAATATAGGTCTCTTTTATGAAAGAAGAGAGTTGATGGGAATGGGTGGAGTTGGCAAAAAGGTATGTTTTTTTTGCCTAACTAATTGAATTATATAAATTCCCTTACCGTTGTAGCAGTGATGTTGGTTTTAAAATGACCAATTATGATAGGAAGTCTCTTTTCAGTTTATCTTAACCAAATGTATATCTATACAAGAGGATTACGTGATTCTAGATGATGATTCTAGATAAGGATGTTAATGTCAACGTTACAAAGATGTTGATGTCAACGCTGACTCTAGTGATAACGGTTGATGATGTTGATAATATGTTGATACACTCAAAGTAAGTCAAAGCACTTAGAATTGAAGGAGATTTAGAGTTGAAAACATATTATTGAGCATCGCATCTAATTCTTTTAGTTGCAAAAATCTTTGTTCACTTCACACATGATTTTTTAGTTCTTAAACTTCTGAAACAATAGTGTGTAATATGATTCATCTACTTAGGCTTTCTTCTTTTTCATCTCTCTAAACCCTAATTTTATCTGTGAAATTGAAAAAGAAGACACTATGCAATTTTAATTTAACTTTATCAGTTTGAGCATTGACAGAGCTTTTGAAATGTTGAAACTGAAACAACAAAGAAGAGAGAGTCCACCAATAAGAATTACCCAACTTAGGACAAAATAATCTCTCTATGCGTCTTGACTAATATTGGCATGGGAGACTTCTATAGATATGAACTTGTAGAGAGAAAGATATATGGTTGGGGGCACAAAAGTGTACAACAACGATAAAGTTGTGAGCGTTTGGCTTGTTTCATGTATCGGATCTAGGAAGTGTACAACAATGAACTGGAAAGCTTTGATGCACTCAAAGTTACAGATAGAGACAATAATTAATATTATATATTTATAACTTACTTTACTAATCTAATATGATACTACATATATCATACATATATACATATATATATATATGTTTGTAACTTTATACTTAGATATATTTTGATTTAGCCCACCCCATTGAGAAATCATGGATCCGCCTTGGTTCAATGTTCAGGCCTACCTTTCTTTTATGTCAGCGCAGCTTAGGGAACAATAATAAGGACGAAGAAGGTTTGAAATTAACTGAAAATTCCAAGGGTAAAGATGACCATATCTAGCTTCAATAGAACCCTCCCCAGTCCCAGTTGCAGAAGTCGTCCATTTTCCAGTTGTAGAAGTCGTCCCTTCTCCACCATCTGAAACTTCTACTAAAACTGAAGGAGAGAAAAACTCCTCAGATTCCTAGTCTGAAGGCGAAAGAACCAAGTCAGACTATAAGGCTAATTATGAAGATTTCCGGAAGGATAGAGGTATTAATTCTCTCCCCTAGTTTAACACATCAAGTTTCACCAAGGGGTTTTGGCAAAGCATTGAGTTTTTATTTTATTTTATTTTATTTTATTTTCAGAAGTAATATGAATTTTTTTTCTGGTTGCTGGTAGTGGGACTTGGTTCATTGGGTTTACAAATTGGAGTATGGATGACATCTTATTATAGTGAAAAGGATCAGAATGCGAAAATGAATCTTCTGATGAAGGAGTCCCTTCAAAAACAAGGACACGATGATTGACATCTACAAGGAAATTGAGGTTTATATTGTTAATCTATACTTTAATGGAAATGTATGCTTAAATGAGTATGTGTTACCAACAGGCCTATGGCTTAGCGGTACCAGACTCTTACTTTCCAAAGGGAGGTCAGAGGCTCGAACTTCAGTGGAAACATGTGTGTGTGAATACCAACTAGGGGAAAGAAAAAAGAAAAAAGTGTATATGTTATTTTTGATTCTTCTTTTCTTTTCAGCAGTAAGAAGGAGGTCGTTGTTCCGTAGAATTTTTGGCTTAAGGTATTGTTTGCTATCTCTATTTATTTATGATTGTTCAAAAATCTGGGCGTTGACAGCTTATGTGAAACTAATGGTATGTATTTCTTTTGGCCTGAAATATATCTTGAACCATTTTATAAACCTTCTATTGATTTCTACCTTAAAGATTGCTTGCAAATATAGTTTAAAGGTTGTTTGTGTGAGACTAGCATGTCTTTCATTTGGCTTGAAAATTTATATTGATTGTGGATATGAATGTTAGCAGCTTAATGTGAATGGCATATGTGAGATAGATGCAAGCTTAATGTTAATGGGTTATGGTGAGATAGATGCAAGCTTAATGGTAATTGTGCTTAATATTGATTCTTGATGTGATTGGGCAGTAGCAATTTTTCGGGTGGTACTGGAAGTCTTCTTTTGACCCCAAAAAACATTTATTTTTAGTGTTGTTGAGGGAAAAAGAAGATAAAGATAGGAATAGTGCTTAAAAATGAACTTTACTTAAAAAAAATAAAAAAGTAAATAACCTTGAAAACCTTTATCCTTCTACCCTACCGAATTTAGTTCGATTGCATTTCCCATAGTCTGTCTCTTTAGACTCGTTATAATATAGACAAGGGTTCAGAATCAGGATTCATGTTCCGATAGGGGATCTTAGGCCTTAGGTTACCGGCTAGAATAAAGGTGTCGGTCGGAATGAGCTCTTGTTTCAACTCAAGCGAAGTACCCGTGCTCGTCTATACATTTTGGTGTCTAATTTTTAAAAGATTGTGCACCTTTAATGGTTTAGATTTTACACCAATTTACTTTAATAGCAAGACAGTTTCATCTTGCTGTACACTTTTCATTATAACTCTTTTAGATGTTCTATTTTAGTTTTATTTTAATCAATTTCTCTTGGATTATATTTATATTTCTTTGGATTAATGAAAGTTTACAGAATATATATATATATATATATATATATACATATATGCTTTTCCATCCATTGGTATGGTTGATGTAAGTTCTTTAATTTCACTTTCCTAGTTATTCTTCATTTCTGCTTTCCTCTGTCTGTACGTGTGATATACAGTTTGAATCCAATCTTATATATTAATTAATATTTGTGCCATTTACAATGACCAAACTGATGTGATCATGTGATTGTTGCCAGAATTGGTTTCCATTATGTACAGAGAAATTAATTAATCTCTTTATGGTTTTTTGTTTTTAGCACCTCTTTATGTTGAATTATTAATAGAAAGAGCCTCTTTAGTCTGTCAGTGAGCCTGCAAAAGAAACTTCTCTGCAATTAGAAATGATATCCTTTTGTCTTAGTCTGCATGCACCACAGGTGCCTTAGTGCTCATGACATGCATCCTATGTCATCCTATGTAGCATAGATATGAATATGTCGTGCCAAAATTAAAATAAAAAAAAAAGAGACGAATACGGTTTGAACACAATTATATATAAATATGAATATTTATTTATATACATATATTAAGTCATATTATTATAAAAATTAATTAATTTTTAATTTTTATATTAAAAGTTGTAATAACTTTTATATCATATATACCGTTATTATAGTACTTTATCGTAATAGTATTTTTATTTTAAATGAACAAATATTATTTAATGTTTCGCTTATGATTTTTTTTTTTTTCTAAGTCAAGAAAGATTATAAGTTAGATTAGTAGGTACAAATAGTCGAAATCTGATACTTCCAAAATCAACCAGAGACATTAACCACTGGACTATTGAGGCATCCGCCTTCACGTGTGATCGTATGTGTATAATGTCAATTTAGATTGTATTAATATTATTTTTAAGATTACCGGTTAGACTTGTATTAGAAATATTTTGAAGTGTCGGCCTAAATGTCTAAGAAGTGTTCACGAAGTATTCATTAGGAAAGTGTCCAAAATAATAAAAAGTTATTTTTATTTACGGACACGAATATGAAGCGTCAGACAAGTGTCCAAGTGTCTAACAAATATCAGTGTTCAACACGGATACGACACAGGTGCAACTCCTTCCTAAAAGTGTTCGTGCTCCATAGCATGTATCCTTTATGTCCACGGTTCCTAAACCTTTTCTTTGTCCGGCAGAAGTGCAAAGCATTGAAGTGGGAGAGCTACGAAGTACGGGGATTTTTTGGACACTCGGGCACATATAGAAGATACAAACACAAATCGAAAGTGCCCTAAAATTTATATATTTTACTTTTTGATTGGATATGACAAGAAAAATGTTTTGGACACTTACACGATACGATGGGGGGCAATTTTGTAATTAAATAATTTTAGAAAATAGAATTTAATGTAATTTAAAATCTATTGTGGGTTAATAAAAAAATAAAATTAAATTAAAGAATAAAATATAATAAATATTTAACTATAACCTCTTAGTCATGATTTCATTCATGTTTATTCAAGATGTGATTGGGGAATAGCAGTTTTTGGGCTTGGTACTGAAAGGCTTTTTCTTTGTTTCATTATGTTTATTTTTCAGTGATGCTAAGGAGAAAAAGAAGATAAGATAGGAACAGTCCTTTTCTACTGTCAAAATATTATGATGAGGACTACTTGATTGTGCAAACCTTCTGTGAATTTTTGGGTATCTGTTGCAAATATTATTTAAAATTGGTTTGTAAGTTATGATGAGCACTACTATATTGTGCAAACCTTGTATGGATTTTTGTATTTAAAGTTGGGGTGCAACTTGAGTTGAATAATTTGAACCCAATCGAGCTCAGCCTAAATTTTTACGTGCTTGCACAATTATTTTTACAATTAGAGTTGGGTTTGGATGGAAAAATCTCAACCCGAATTTAATTAGGGTTGGACTTGGGTTGAAGTGCTAGCAACCCGAGCCAACTCCAATCCGAATTCTAATATTATTTATATATATATTTTTACTTTTAAATACATTATATATAATATTTAAACTATGATTACTTTTTTTCTTTTTAACTTTTTTTGTTAAATTTTAACTTATTGTATGTTAATATTTAGGAGAATTAATTTTCTAAAATTTTGTTTATATTTTATTAAAAATTTACAAATAAGTCTTTAAACTTTTTCTTGTTTAAGAGTAATTTAATCTAAAACTAATTTAAGATCATATTAAATTTTCGGTGTAAGAATTAGTCATATGAGTAATCCGAATTAACCTGAACTTTTTACCTGGAATCTAAGTTCGAGTTGCAAGTCCGAATTTAAAAGTAAAAAGATGGGTTGAGTAGTTAAGATTGATGATAGAGTTAGAGTTGAGTTTGGATTTAACATTTCATATAGTGGGTTGGGTTCACTGGGCTCAAGTTATACTTCAAACTCACCCAACCTATCGGAGTTGCAGCCCAAGTTTAAAGATTTCTTGCAAAAATAGTGTAAGGTTGATGGTACATGTGAGACTAATGTTTGCTTTTGTCATTATGGATATGAATGCTAGCAGCTTAATGTTGTCAGGGTACGTGAAACTAATGGCATGTCTTTCTTTTGGCCTGAAATATATCTTAAACTATATGTATGAAAATGCTACATTACTGAACTTTATGAATTTGTGTTAGAAATTGTCTACGGCTATTGTGGACAGCTTTGAGTTGTGATAATGAAATAATAATTTTCTAAAAAAAAAAACATTCATCAACCTATACACTACGTACTTAGATATCATTTCATCTCAAGTATTCATCCCCTATAAATATAATGCCATTTTAATTGTAGAAATCTTCTATTGATTTCTAACTTAAAGATTGCTTGCAAATATAGTTTAAAGGAGGTTTGTGTGAGACAACCTCACGCAAACCTAAGAGCTTAAAGTTAATGGCATGTAAATTTAGAAATCGTCTATAAATTTATATTGATTATGGATATGAATGCTAGGAGCTTAATGTTAATGGCTTATGGTTGATATAACTTTTGGTGAACGTTTACGAGTGTGCTATAAATTGCCTGCAAGTGCTGTGATAATGAAATATCCTCCCAACATCAATTTATTCAACATTCTATTAATATATTTTTCTACAAAAATCATTTACCAACTATACATATGTACATAATAAATATCACTATATACTGTATTAAAATTCTGTGTCAAAAAAAATTTCATAATTCTATAATCATAATACAATTTTTTTTTTCAACTTGTGATGTTTCATGTCCGATTTATGTAGTGAGAGCATTGGAAAGCCAAGAAAGAAACAATTCATTTCAAATGTAATTTAACCAAAAAAAAAAAAACTCATTTCAAATGTATTTACAAGAAAACAGTTTTTCATACAAGTAACTTATAAATTTCTTTGTATCAAAATTATCATTATTGTCACGGTCACTTAACGTATAAAAAATTATCATTTTAACAACAATGGGAAAAACAATTATTGATTTTTTGCCAACTCATAGATTCATTTATTTATTGGTCTATCTTGTATCAAGTGAATAGTTATAGATGAAACAATTACTTAATTTAATATTTCATTCCCATGGCCCTCATTTGTGTTCGGCTCATTGAAATCGTGGTCCTTTCCAAGTGTGGAAAGGAGAGTGGGGGTTGCAGGCGTGTCAGGAACAGCAGTCGTTCTAAAGTGAAGCTCCAAACAATATTCCAGTTGGAAGTCGAAAGGATCAGGTGATTGTATGAAGGACTGTAATGACCACCCTCAAAGGTTCTTTTTGCCTTGAAAAAGGATTTCTGGATTGTTCTATGACTAGTGGAAAGAAAGACGGTATTGAAAGTGCAAGGCTTGAAAGTAAAACAACTAAAATGAAACTAAAATGTAACTGCTGAAATGTAAGAAAAGAAGTGCAGGACTTGTAATTGAAGGTATTGAAAACTACTTGACAGAAAGTAGTGAAAAGAAATGTTGGACTTAACTCAAACATTGAGAATTCATTGCTGGAATGAATGCTGCATGAAATAGTAAAATACTGGACTTAAATTAAACATTATGTAAATTCATTGCTGGAATGAGAGATACATGAAATTGAATAGCAAAGATGCTGTATTGATGTGTGGTGTGCGTTGAGCAGGATTTGCTTGCTAGGCTTAAGTGCCCTATTTATAGAATTCTTCCGTATAGGAATTGTGGAGTGTAGCGGTTTTGGCAACTTCCACTTGGCTTGTCTTCAGAGTGCCAAGTGTCCCATGTCCTT